AAATTTAGTCAAAAACATCAGAAAAACCTCTTTGTTCAAACCCGCAGAAAGTCGCCAAATTTAACTTTTTGTCCGATTTTTCAGACCCTTGAGAATTGAGCAGGAAAAGGGTCTTAGTCTAATGTGTAAATATTTCAACAATTAATTTCGCGCAAACTGCTTCGGGCGAAAGCAGGGCTTTGATCTTAAAACAACACAAAAATTTCATTTTCTCGGTTTTTTTCGGTTTTTCGATCTCGGAGAAAGTCCTTATTTTAAACTTACTTCCTGAATTTTAAGATGCTTAAGAGTTGAGAAGGAAAAGTACCTTGCATGAATATTTTAACAATTTATCGCGCACAAACTGTAGCAGATAAAAGCAACAAATTTAGTCGAAAACATCAGAAAAACTTCTTTGTTCAAACCCGCAGAAAGTCGTTAAATAAAACTTTTTGCCCGATTTTTCAGACCCTTGAGAATTGAGCAGGAAAAGGGTCTTAGTCAAATGTGTGAATATTTCAACAATTAATTGCGCCCAAACTGCTTCGGGCGAAAGCAGGACTTTGATCTTAAAACAACACGAAAATTTCATTAGATGATATGGGAGAAAGTCCCTATTTTAAACTTACCTCCTGAATTTTCAGATGCTTAAGAGTTGAGAAGGAAAAGTACCTGAGATAAATGCATGAATATTTTAACAATTTATTGCGCACAAACTGTCGCAGATAAAAGCGACAAATTTAGTCCAAAACATCAGAAAAACTTATTTGTTCAAACCGGCAGAAAGTCGTTAAATGAAACTTTTTGTCCGATTTTTCAGACCCTTGAGAATTGAGCCGGAAAATTGCTTCGGGTGAAAGCAAGGTTTTTATCTTAAAACATCACGGAAGATTCATTGGTTCAGTTGGCAGAAAGTCGCTATTTCAAACCTGAATTTATTCCGGCGCATTTTTAAATGCGTTAGGGTTCAGTAAGGAACGTTCCTCTAGAGCTCAAGCTCTAGATGTGAAGTTGCAGGCCAAGAAAAGTCCCCGTTTAATATTTCCAGTTTAAATTGTCAAGTGCCTGAGAGTTGAGGTAAAGTCTTACTCTTGAGACTTAGGCAAATCAGTGACTTTCTCAACAGATTATTTAGCAAAATCTAGATCAGACAACTTTAATGCTTAAACCCGGAGAAAGTCGCTATTTGAAACTTCTAGCGCGAAAAATCCTGTCTCTCAAATCCTGGGAAATATATTCGAAGTAAAGAATTATATTTGAGAGCGAAAGAAACAATCGGTTATAGAATTTCGTATGGAAAAGTTGCGTCAATATTCTGGTTATGGACTCGAAATAAGCTGCTCCAGAAAATTAGCGTTTCACAGCCAAATTTGCTCTAACTTTGGAAGTGGATAAATTCTCTTCGCGAAGAGTGATTTGTTTTCTGTTTAAAGCCTCATCTAGCCCTACTTGCTTTATATTGGTCAGTGGGTTCACAAAAATTAAGCGTCGCGATGACTTTGCTACAGGGTGGCAAATGAAAAATTGCAAAATTTCGGAAAGTTTCAGGAGAAAAATTAACATTTTCAAGCTATTTTATATTAAAGCAACTATCAGGGCCCGTAACCAGAAATGCTCCTATCCAGGCAAAGATACTTTGAGCGGGTGTCGTCTTTTCTAACTCTCCTCAAGCCTCCACTACTGGTAACAACTGGAACACTAACATTGCAATAATAAATAGTTGCATAACTCAGACTGTTACTTATGCTTCAGCATCGAAACGAGCAAAAATCAACATAGACGAATCGGATTCGGACCAAGAAGACTCGAAATGCACCCGGCCTGTCTCCTTGCCCACAGAAACTCCGGCCGCGAACTCCCAAGCAATGCTCTCCTGTTCGTCGCCAGATCCGCCCACCAGTCCTGAAGTCGATCTGAACGTGGAGGAAAACGACACAAACACCCCAGAAAATCTGTCTTTAAAACGGGACAATAGCAGCCCGGAACCGGCCCCACAGCCCACAGATTTCTCCCATCATCTGGCCAGGTTCCATCAACACTCCATGGTCCAGCCGTCGCCTCAACGATCGCCCATCAACATTCTAATGAGAGTGTTTCCAGGCAAAAGACGATCGGATGTTGAAGCCATTTTAAACAGGTAACTATTGCAGTTTAGAGGCGCAAATTGAGGAGAACTAAGGTGGCTTTCTGCAGGTGCAAGGGAGATGTTCTGCAGGCCATGGAGCTGATGGTGGGAGACGAAGAAGTGTCCTCAGCGTCAGCGTTTTCGCCTCTAGGTCCTCCGCACCCCTTCCATCGCTACAGCCCCTCCAGGAGGTTCCTGGCTGCCCCCTATGGGGGCACCGGTTACTTGTCCTCGATAATTCGGCCGCCTCCTGACTATTTGACCATGATGGGTCCTTTGCATGATGTTTACAATGAGAAGGCCAGCGCTTCTTCTCCTGGTTCAAATACCAGTTCCGATAAAACCTCCTATTCGGAATAGCCCTCGTTTCGGTTACAGTGAGTTCCATCAATTTGGTTATTTAAAGTGATATTAGTTCATTGGGTGATTAGTTAGGAATCAAAGATGTTCAAAATTGTAAAAGTCCCAGCAAAAAAATTCTAATGGTAACTAAACCAGAAGAATATGAATATCAATGCCATTAATGTATTAAATATATTGTGTATATAACCTGACTTTGAAGGATTTCAGCATATAACTAAACTAGAAGATTGTATGTATTTTATAGTTAATCATCCATAAGGAAATCGAATAAGATGAAAGTATACAAGCAACTAAAAATAATACTCCACTTGCCATTGTAGTAGTCATTCTAGATACTAAATCGTTCCGAAATTTAAGCTGTAGGCTTATGAGAGACAATGTTTAGAAAGTGTTTAAAATTTGTTGTATTTCCGTTTTGGAACATTCTCCACAGCTAAGTCATAAAATTTATTTAAGTAAATATAAACAAATATATATATATATATAAAGCAAACTGGTTTTTCTTTCATCAAATTTCAGTTACTTGATATGAGTAACGTTTGGTTACTTAATTTCTGAGCAATTTGCCAGACGATTGCATTATCAATGTAAATAATCGGGCACAAGATCGCTGATCAGTTCATATCAAAGGAAAAGACACACGAAAAATGGAAGATTAAACTGAGAAATTAATTGTCCTGGTTTTTCCGGAATGTTGGTGTCAAAGTAACTGCGCTTTCTCCTTTAAAAAATTGTCACTTCCACACCACAGCACGTGGTAACTTGAAATTTTCACAGTTCCTAACAGCGACTTTCCTCTAAATGCGTGAAAAGTTTATCTAAAATCGTTACTAATCCTCGTTTTGCCAGCTTAGTCAACGCTGGCCTCAAAGGGGAGATTCTCTCCAACTGCGTTCCCTTATTAAAAAAAATTTGAACCGTCCGAACTAGAGCAAATACTAACTGGAATTTTTCACCTTGCTTGTGTTATGCTTCAATCCTGCATACGCTAACAGTTTTATAAAAATTGAACACAGTGCCGATTTTTCCAGATTAGTTTCCAAAAAATCCTGACGTCTAAATCCTAGTAAGTAGTAACCTGAAATTTTCAAAATCCATTTACACAACCTTTGTCTAGCTGGGTATGTTGTCAGTTTTATTAAAGTAGGCCAAAATCTCAATTTTTTCTAGACTAATAAATTTTTTGAAACGAATGTTTTCAACCACCCACCTTTTCCCCTTTAAACTACCGCAACTTTTACTACAGAACAAGCTGTAACTTGAAGTTTTCACAACATATTAAGGAGTCTCTGTGCCAGCGATACTGAAATTTTTGTTTAATTTGTTCGCTGTAACACTGGATTTTTTCCAGATTAATAAACGTCGGTTTCAAAACTCATGTTTTACGCACTTGCGCTTTTTCCTTCAAAAAATTCCACTGCACGTTGTTGCGTCTTAAATTGAGAGAATCTAATGGAATCTGATGGACTAGTCGACTGGTTTTTGTTTTACATCCAAGTTTTTTAGACGGTTGGTAAAGAAACACCAACTGTAAATGAGCTGTTTGAACTCCAGCTTGCAGATTAGCTTGGATTTGCCCTGATATTTTAGCTTCAACATTATTTGATATAGTTTGCGACTGAAAATCACCCAAATCCACAAAAAATTCTTATTTGATTTTTATTGAATTAAACTGAATTTACGATTCTAGAGCGTAGCACACATCTTGTCGCACTCGCTCACATAGGAGTTAACGAGAGATGCACGATCGTCCGTACGCAGCTACGTTCGAACTTGATACACTCATGGCTTCAAATATCAAGTTTCTAAAAAATATTTGTGGTCAATTTTTAATTGAAATGCATCGGTTTACACTCGGTAATTTCTTAGGTTTTCCAATTTAAATCCACTTGACTGTTTGATAAGTGAGTATTTTCCATCAATCGCGTTCAATGAACTACATTTATTAATTCAGTAAAATCCTTGAAGTCTATTAAAAAAATTGCAATCAAAAATGTCTCCATATAGGTGTAGATTTGGTTGATTATTAAGAAGATTATCATGTAAATTTACCGATTGCATATTAAATTGTTGCTAAAGTCATGTTTTTACTCACTTGAGCGTATTTTCTTGAAAAAATAGTAACTTCTAAACCCAAGCTGTAAGTGCCCTTTGAGAACATTTGGCTCTAATTATTTTAAAATTTTGATTAAAATCGTTTAAAATCTAGATATTTTCCAGACCAAAACATATTGCAATCAAGATCCATGTTGTCAGTCAGGTGAGATTTTTCTTCATAACCCCATAACTCTGAACCGGAGCAAGTAGCGACTTGACATTTTTCCTGTCGATTAACAAAATGTGGCTTTAGGTTCTCACAATTTTTTTGCAAAATTCTCCACTTTCAAAAATAAATTTCGGGCTATTAAATGTTTCAAAAGCGATACTTACGGTTTCTCTTTGAAAAAAAACAACTTCTAATCCAGAGCCAGCAGTCCCTTGAATTTATTGCGGTTTAAGACAGGTCAGACCACAGATACTGCAATTTTTGGCGGCAAAAATTTGATTTTTACCAGATCAGCTAATGTGGGTTTCAAAAAACAACCCTTTTTTGCTATAAAAAAATCGTAACTAAAATCTAAGCGGATGTGCCTTCATATTTCTATAGTCTTTTGAAATTATTTGACTCTAAATATTGTGCAATTTTTCTTTTAATGGTCCAAAATCTAGATTTTTGCCATATCAGAAAATGTTGCTTTGAACTGCGGTTCTTCCTTTAAAAAACCTTAACTTCTAAACCAGAACAAGTAGCCACTTGAAATTTTCGCCGTTGGTTCGCAAAAGCTAGCTCTAAATATGGGGCAATTTTCATTAAAATGATCTGATTTCTAGATTTTTTCCATGCTATTAAAAATATCCAATTTCAAGATTTCACCTAATTGCGCTCTCTATTCTAAAAACTCGTAACTTACAATACTGAGCCACCCGATACCTAAATTTATTGCAGTCCATTCAGGCCACTTCACTCTAAGAATACTGCAATTTTTGTAGAAATCATCTTAAAACTGGATTTTGGCCAAATTTTTGAATGGGTTTTGAAAGCAAAACTCATGCCTTTTGGAACTTGTGCTCGCTTTTTAAAAAAAATGTCACTTCAACGAGAGCAAACTAAGACTTGAAATTTTCACACTCGTTTGAGGACACTTGATGCTACACCTTCGGAAATTTTCATTAAAATCTTAAAAATCGCAAGCGATAAGAACAAGGACAAGGAAATGATGAAAAGTTTGCTGATAAAGCGCCTTTTAATGGTTGTTGCATAGAGATTTTGCAATTTTTTTTCGAAAAGAAAAATGCCGCCAAACAGTAAACAAAGTGCAAAAGTCCAGTTACTTGTGTTTCCACTTGAAGGTAATCCAGTGAAAAATATAAAACGGGGGTAAAAAGAGAGAGAGCGGAACGAATCTCAAGCGCTTTATCTGAATCCTTTTGTAAAATCTTTGGAGTTGTTTAAAAGAGGTTTGATTCGTCTGCTGCGCGAACAATTAATGGGGAGACTAGTCAAAGTTTCCACGCGAACAATCACATCAAAATTTAATTATAAAATACATATTATGAATCAACCGAGTTCCATCCCTCTATTGAATGGGTCACCCTACTATGCAGTTTCGCTCCCCGGTACCGTATTGAATACATGAAGCCAGTTATTAGGTCCCATTGTTAGCCTGTAGCTAACAGATCGTATAAATTATATTGTAAACAGTGGCGTGTGTTTAGTTTTATTGTTCGCATTAAACTGTGGTTATTCGCCCTTGTTATCAAGCCGTTTAGAGTGATTGATGATGATTTAATTATTTGCTCGAGGGGCAATTTTTTATTAATAACGTTCCAATTCACTCAAATATTTTCAGTAATATCAACCACAATCTGAATATGCGCTGGTTAAATTTACCTGAGAATCTTCGGAATAATTGACCAACCAAATCAACCCAGAGGGGGGGAATTTTATTGATGAATTTATCCAAGACTATGACAGCTTTTACCGATGTACTAAATGTGGATTAGATAGCAATTAGCAAGTTTTTCAATGAGATTAGGAAATTATCGACTGTTAAACCGATGCAGTTTAATTCAAAATTGACCTAAAATGTTTTATAGAAACTTGATATTTTAAGCCGTGAGTGCATCAAGTTCGAACGTAGCTGCGTCCGGACGATCGTGCATCTCTGGTCAACTCCCATGTGGACGAGTGCGACAAACGAAGTGCGCTACGCTCTAGAATGGTAATATCAGTTTAATTCCATAAAAATGAAATAATAATTTTTGGGCGATTTGGGCGATTTTCTGTCAAAAAATATTTGAAATATTGTTGAAGCTAAAATATATTGGCAAATCCAAGCAAACCTGCAAGCTGGGGTTGAAACAGCTCATTTACATTAGGTGTTTCTTTACCAACGGCCTAAAGAACTGGGATGTAAAACAAAAACCGTCGTTCAATCCCTCCATACATGAAATGAATATGGTTCCATTAAATTCGGTCGATTTAGGACGCAACTCGACGTGCAGTGGGCAAATTGAAAAATAAAAACGTTTTACAAATGAACGTTAAACAAAGCGAAAAACCAGTGGGAGGCTGGTACACATGCTGTGACAATAAGAGCGACCTATTATATTTATTATTCCTCAATAGGGATCGCTATATCAAGCGATTGTTACTGAAAAGGTACACTCGACTTTCAGAGATCGCTCCGGGGGCATAAAGAAACTCTCTACTCGAGACACAAAAGAGGTTTAGAAAGAGAGGAAACTTACAAATAATTGCATTTTAACGTTCAGTTTCCGGTGTGTTAATATGATACCTCGACGAAATTCTTTTTTGCCTTCGTCTATATACACGGGTGTTTTCGATTACAAAAGGAATTATTTTTGTATGCCCTAAATAGGCTTTGGATATGTACACAGAATGGGTGTAAGTGTTACGAGGGGCAGAAGCCATCTGATATCTCGCAAGGTATTCGGATTGCCTTAACTAACTATTAAAATATCGTGTTCGGATTTCGTAGGATTTGGGTATTTCAGAAAGTATCTCTTTTCCACTACTGGTCAATTGCATCCAATAAAAACCTACTAAACATCTGCAAGGGGTTTTCTTTTTGTTTCATATTGCTTACTAGTTTTACTTTTGGCGGTTTGTCTATTTATTTTGCCTTTTATCATCCGATTTACTCTGCTACAATTTTTGGTAGTGGATTTTCAATTGCGCTCAATAAGGCTTTGCTGTTTTCCTTATCAATGTCTAATCAAAGTTTGTTAATTGTCGTTTTTTCTCTTGATTTTGATCGTCCTAAGATTAGCTTTCGCTTATTCTGGCATTTAATCAGCGGTGTCTTTGGAATTTTTGCAAATTTCCTACTACACATTTTTCATGCTTAAAATTCCTCAAATTGGCAAAT